CTACAAGGAAGATGTTCAGTTTGAATAGCCTAGATTAGAGTATATAAGTACATGAAATTCATGAGTATATGAGAGAACAGTAGAGTAGTGGGTTTGCAAGGAAATTCTTCTGCATTATTGCAGAAGTCTTGCTAATCCTGAATCAACCTAAATGTGCAGAACTGAATAATATTAGAGCTGTCCAATAAGATTTGATGAATGCACTATTTCATTAATTTCACCTTTTCTGTTGAATAAATTATTTGACAAATAATGGTAAAATTCATCAGATAAATTATCTGATGAATACATTTTTTAAGTAATTGACTAGCTCTAATGAATATGCAGGCAGTTCTTTAATGAAAAGCATTACTCTACTGTTAGCCTGCTTTCATCACTCATATGTCACTTTTTTGTATTTTGCAACTGCAATCTGTATATTTTATTCATTTACCCATTCATTTATAGGTGGGAAGTTCAAAACAGTATGGTTAATCAATCACTGCAATTCTTAGAATATTTTTATTTTACACTTGATTATTCACTACACTTATTACACACAGCAATGCTTAATAAAAATGAACTTGGCTTTTCTGAGCACCACTCTCCCAAGAACTATTCTTGGTTTGTGTGTTCCAAGTCAAGTTTACAACGATGTTCTGCAAATTGCAGGGTCCATTTATAAGCCATTTTTGTATTTGTAAACACTACAATTACCAATTGTTTCAAGAAATGGGAGCTTAAAGCCAAGCCAGACACATGCAAAGTCCCTGAAAACACACATTAGAGGAGTAAAACAATGAAGAGTATACATGAGCCACCTCCTCACTGCACAGAGCTAGGATGTTTGGATAAAAGCCACAGAGAAGATTATTTGGATGATGTTCAATTTTGGAAATGTTCCAACCTCAAAGATCAAGTCTGTATTTTGTTATTACAGAGGTGGTCTCAACAAATGATACTGATAGGCTGATAGTGTTAAATGGCTAATTGTACTTGTTAATGTCACTAGGAGTCACACTTCTGAGTCCTGGTTCCTCACAGAGGTATACCAATTTACTGTGGCTGTGATACTGCTACAATAATCAAGCCTGTGTGACTCTCAGTGTTACAAAGATGCAAATCATGTTATCATGTGTGACTTCGAACTTGCAGCATGAAGATCAACTGAACAGTTTTAATGGGAGAAAGTTGTGTGAGAGAAGTGTATTAAGAGTTGCCTATAGCTGCACTTAGAGTAGCTGCAACTCTCTCAAATTTTCCTTTTAATGGCTTGTAGGCTTTCATAAGTACAGTTAATAGTCTTTGCCCAAGTTCCAAATGACGCCAATTCTACTGCCAGTTGGACAACTACTATATAGCTGTCCTTCACAATACATAGGGGGACTCATCCTATCTCCACAGAGTTTAAAAGATGATGTTTCAAAAAACATCAGTGATGCAGAATAAAGCCCTTACAAAGACCAACCTGTCATGCCAGGGGTGGGGAAAGCCATGTAGAAGTCCTTCACAATGGGAAAGACTTTGTTCTTGGCTGACATTACATGTCAAACAAAACTGCAGCCACATTACCTTGCAAGCAAATGGTTATTTCCCTTTTATGGACTTGCTATTAAAGGAACATTATTATTGCAAGAGTGTACTACAAAATAAAGGAAAATGTTCTAGGGATATATATATTTTTTTTTTCATACCTTTTATCTCTGGAGCTTATGTTTTTATTTACCTTAATCAGGCATGGGTTGTGGTGCGTGTGAATGTTTGTCACTTAGGGCTTGTGATAAACTCACTTTTCTAATAAAAAGTTTGAATACTTGTTATATATAATTTCACCATACTTGTATACTTTGATCTAATCTACTGCACAGTTTTAGCTAAAATGGTTGTGGTTCTAAAGATTACAAGTATTAGGAGGCAGAAATAAGTAGTAGAAATTATCTTCAGTTTGCAGCTTGCTTTACAAAGGTTTTAAATGCCCTTTCTTTGCTAACTGCACTTTAAAGGGCTTCTGACCCACTCCTTTTCATGTGCAGTCACCAATCTAATAATATCAATGCTCATTTTTAGATGGGATCATTAAGGCAATTGCTTTGCACTTAAGAATTCTAATAGAACCACAATATTAATAAGCAAACCCTTTCAGAACTAGTGTTGCTGCATAGGCAATTAGAGAAGAACTTAATTTGTACTCCTGATAAACACCTGAGCTCCTTATGCTTCACTGTTACTGCAGATTTAAAGTCCAAGGATGTGTTTGAAACATGTGCTGCTGATACCCATTGGTACAGACCTGGTTTTGTTCTTCTTCATTTACATGCTGTCTCAAAGGCATATTATAGTATAATCCAGACCACAAATCTCCTGGGTACCCATTCACAGAAATGGAAAGTGCCATGTTTGGTTCACAGGCATTTTTGTTAACAATGGGTTTAATGGGTTTTTTTTGTAAGATTTGTGGTGAGTGGCTCTCCAGAGATTTAGTATCCAAACTCTCCAGGCTATCTTGGAAAACCTGCAGACTCAGCATTAATAGCAGATGAAGCTCAGGATTAAAGATAAACTTGAAACTGCTAGATTTTGCAGCTTTTGACACAAGGTTTGTGGCGCTCTATTTGGTTACCCCAGAACAAAAATAACGTATCATTTTCAGGGTCCTTAATTAATAACTATTTATTTTTTTGGCTTTAATTAGCTATGAGCAGAATGGAAATCTTGCAAATAGATCAGCTTCTGTAATTAAAAGGACTTCCTGAATGGCACTACTTTGGAAAGAGCTTCACCTTTGCTATGGTGGTGCCTATGCAGTGTGCTCAACAGGAAAACTGGAAAATGGAAACAGAATTACCACCCCCAACATGCCTTCCACACAGCAGACAATTAACACCAACTTCATCTTCTAGAGTCAGTGTCTATTTTCATAAGGCTTTCCATATTTTCCTTAAACAATAAAGCAGAGAGAATGCAAGCAAATTGCCTAGCTCCCTGCAGTCTTTGAAAACATCCCTTTTGCAGTTCAGGCTTCGATTTGCTATCACCCCATCAAAACAAGCTGTTCAAATGCTCCAAAAAGAAACATAATTACAGAGCAGACGAAGCAGCTTGCTGAAAGCAGGTTGCCTTTCCTCCGAAGTCTTATAGTGCATGATTATTAAGAGTCAATAATAAGGTAAAAGAACAGTTATTAAAAAATACTTCCATAACACGCACAAAAAAAATCACGTAACAACCACAGGGCTATTTGCTGCCCAGCTCATTTGTGTGGCTTTGCTTAGGCAAAGGAGTAGGAGAAACAAAAGGAACTGCCTGGATGCAATCATCCATAGGAAGACTGCACAGGTGCAAAGGACCTGTATCAACTTCTAACACCTCCTCTTTTTCTATTAATTTTCAGGAATTGCTGGAAGATCTGGAGTACTGAAAGAGTGACTATGGAGCTTGCAGTATTTGCCTCTGTGGACAGCTAGACTTATATTAAAGCCACTGCAGACCTGATCTGCCTCTGAACTGTGTACCTAAGATCCTGCATCAGGCACAGCTCAGCTGGAGGTAAAAACTAGGTTACAGATGCATAAATTTTGGGGATTTTGTGTATTTTGATAATGCAGTTTTTCTGTGCTAACAATGCAGTGATACATCACTGCTCATAAATCTACACCTGAAGGCAAATACGGAACAGCAATGACAGCAACAACAACAAAAATCCCATCTGCTGCCTTCATGGAAGAAGGAGATAAGGTCCAAAGAGGAAACAGGAAATTGTCAACTTGAACTTAAGAATTTTAAGAATTTCCTAGTAAAGGATGTTCTCTCCCCATGATTTTGTTTTACCATAGTACCCTGTGGGCCATCAGGGACATCTGATCCCAGAAGCACTGAGCCAAGGGAGGTTATAGTGCTCTGCTTCTCTGGAAGCCAGCCATGCTCACCAGGAAAGTGAGATGTACAAGCATCACTCTGCGTTTGTATCTGGCAGGTTACTCCCAGCCTATCCCCAGTCTGCAGTAGAAATTTGGGGTGGAATTTGACCAGAATAATACCTGACACTTCATTCAGCTTTGAAATGGCTAATGCATTGAAATAAAGTGGTTTTACTCTCATCTTGTGTGTGTTGGGCACTGCCACTTCTTTCTTTTTACAAGTCCTCACATTGATCACCAAATGGCTCAAATAGCAACAAAGGGTTATAAGTGACTTGACCATAGATTTCATGAGGCCTCACCATTGTACTTTCTCCTGTTAGCTCCAGCTATTGCTTGATCACTGTCAGCCCACTCACACACAATAGTGCCCCATTACAGTTGGAATTGTTTGTTAAACTTTATAGCACTTAGAAAGGCTCCTGAGACACCAAGAATGTCTCAATTCAGAATGGAACATATAATACCTGCCAAATTTGCAGGTTTGAAGCCACTTCCAATAAGAATTAAAAAGGCCCTCTTCACAGCTGAAATAGGGCTATCAATGCTTGACTTGTCTGCCCATGTGAAATAGTGGGTTCTTTTCTCTGACGTTGCAATTTAGTTTAAAATAGCTTTGATGATGACAGGGTACACGCGAGTGCTAAAGCCATAAAGATGACAGTCTAATCTTACAAAGACGACCGATCACTGATAAGAGATTAAGTCACACGACATCTGAAAAACCAGATTATCTGTCTGCTAGGATAGTGTCTGTATACACCTCCTGCTGAGCCATGCTGAGATGCCAATGACATACTAAGATGCTACATCTTAGAAGTAAGAAATGCTTCACAGAATTCTTCAAACCATTGGGTTATAAGACAGAAAGCAAGAAAAAATAGATCCTATATCGAGCTTCTTTTGTAAAACAATTTTTCAGGCTAGTAAAGTATTCAGATGTACAGCAGATAAATAATTTAGATACACTATAAAAAGGTCTAAATTAGCCAATTCTGCCCTATAATTAGCACTCACAGCTATGATGGCAATGGGTGGGTGATTATTAAACACCTTTTATTATCAGTTTTATGTACTACAATAAAAAAAGCAAATTATACTTACAAGAATTATTAGACATGCCGGTCCTATAAAACTCCATATAAAGTTATTCTTTGTGCTGAGCCAACATCTGAAAAGTAAACAGCAGAAAATACCTTGAAGTGTGCAATTCTGACTATTTTATCCTCACGTATGTTGATTTGGACATGAAAACAGTGACTTACACTTCTGTGGTGCCATAATACTTGTATCCCAGTGCTGCAGAGATTCCAACGACCACGGCTGGACTGACATAGCCAAAGACATAGAAATTCTTGTGCAAGAAACCCTTGTTGTAGATGACTCCCACAACTATAAGGTAGAGGTGAATACCTTCAATGCACATCCATGCAAAAGCAGCTAGAAGGAAATAATGGAGTAATCCAGCAGTAATTGAACAGAAGAGCTAGAAATTCAATCAGAGAAAGCAAGAGTCATAATTTTATTAATATGTCTCTGTTACTATAACAGCATAAGCACAGCAACCTAGTGATTCTAAAGTAGTGGCTCAGCAGCCCAGATGTAATGCTGACTGACAGGAACTTGGGCTGTACCCATGAGCACACATGTTCATTAGGGTTTTCTGTGGCAACTGGTAAAATAAAGGGACAACATTCAACTTTTAAAATGGTGCACATCTTCCCAAACTGCATTAGCAAATTAACAAGGTTGATCCCACTGACACAGGTAAGTAGTCTATATGCTTTCCTGATCTAGACAAAGTTTATTTTTATGATTTTGAAAGAAATATAATTGGGCACGACACGGAATTATTTCTGAAATAACTTTTATTAGTAACAAGTGTTTGCAAAATGATATTTCTTAATTAATCAATTCTGAAGTGCTACCTCAGGGATCATAGCTCATAGTTTTTCAAGAAATTTTAAAACCTATTCAGCTATGTATAGTGGTAAGGTTGGGAATTTTTTTTTTTTTTTTAAAAATAATTTATATGAAATTTTGTTTCCTAAATCTAATCTGAGATATAAAAAGCAACAGCCCAAATTAAATTAAAAACAACAGGGACAGGTCAGATATAGAAGGGAAAGGAGTCCTCCAGCCAACAGCACAGTATCTTAAATGCCATCTTGGGACTGCAGCCCTGGCCTGGCTTTTAAGGAAAATTGGCTTTGTACAGCATCTAAACAGATGTGGAAAGCGAAAATGCTAAACACATTGAGACCACAATCTCAGTTAAGGTGACAAACATGAAACGAAACCCACAGAGCTAAATAGGTATACAACACCTCAGAGGAAGGCCCCACTTTTTAAAATGACCTGTTCATATTTCCTGTTACTAGACCGGCAAGTCAGTGTCACTAGAATATTCATACTGATACCAGGAAAATACTGGAAGTAGATGTAAGATCGTATCTTATACTGTGTATTTACTTTACAACACAAAATCAAGATAGAAGTCAAAACTACCCACCTTATTATTGTTCATATTAATTCCAATCAGAAAAATAAGTTCCGCCAGAAAAAGGCTGCAGCAGAGGTTTTTGTGAATTGTTGTTCTAGTACTTTGAATTTCACTGAAGAACCAGAATGTAAAAATGCACATGGAGAGGCAAATCAACGAAATAATTATTCCTAGCTGTGTGATTCTTGTAAGAATGTTATAATTTGTAACACCCTGGGGGAAAATTATAATATAATATTTAGAAGAATAGCCTTGTACCTTCTCAAGAAAGACCTCATTCTATAATACAGTTCTTTTCTTCTTTTCTACAAAATATTAAACAAGACTGTTTGTAGAGTTTCACTGCAAGTGTACAATTTGGATACTCTAAAAAAATATTGGGTTTTTTTTTGAGACAGATATAATTTCAGGGGAAATTAGTAAAAACTGTATACATTCCTGCTCTTGCATTTTCTGATAATTCTTAACAAAACTTTTCATTAACATCTCCTCATGTGATTTAAAAAATCAGATCATTTTAGTGAATGACAAATACAGTGGCAGTAGAACATATATTAATACAATATGAACATTTCTTAATATAAAAGGACTTATCACAGCAGTGACTTAGATAAGCAGAACTGAATAACCATCTTACTGAATGCAGTATGATCAAAACAAGACTCTGAAATAACAATCACTTCAAACAAAGGCTATTCCAGATATGTAACATGAACATTCTCCAAAGAAACACAGGGTTTTTTAATATTGGATGGTAATATTTTCTGTATAGGAACACAGTTACATTCGCTGCTTGATATTTGCATAAAGCTTCTCTGAAATACATAATACATGACTGTGCATCAGCATAAGGATAGTGTTCAGCTGACCATAAAATATATCTAAGTAATTTTGTTTCTAAATAAAGGACCAGAAATTATTCTCCTCCCAGCTTTCCTTTTCAAAATAACTATATAAGTACCTGCAAAGGTTTTAAATCTGAACTGGAGACTTAGGATGCTATTTAGCAACCAGAAACAGCCTCTATCAGCATGAAATTCACAGTGTGATAGAACTGTCTCAATACGGTATATTCATGCTAATATTCTGCTTGCTGTCAGTTCTGATACCTTATAAAGCTGCCTCCTGAGGCAAAACCTGAGCTCCTGCAGATCCTCACTTAGACCCTGGAAATCTATGGGGTCTCTTCATATAAGGAGGTCATAAAGTGAGTGGTCATTTTCACAATTTTGTGCTGGTCGTGAGTGCCCATGCTTAATAGTCATAAACTTCAAATTGATTATGCTGCTGCAAACTCTCAGGAGAGAATTTAAAACAGATTTCTGGACACCAAGGTTGGACAAATGGATGGCAAAGTTTTGAGAGAAAAAAATTCTGGGCCATATGGTTACTGACCACCAATGAATGCCAGTTAAATCCCATGGCAGTCTTAAAGTGGAATTTAAAATTAAAAGCAATGCACCAAAAATAAGCACAACAGACTGTGTATTTGGAACAAGATAGTTTGCTGCATCACTGCTCTGTAATACTGCAAAAAGGACATACGGAAATTCAGACACATATGGCAGGAATTTTGTTTGCTCTTTGCACAATAAATTGTGTGTTTGCTGAACAAAAACACGAGACAACCTAAAGGGAGAAAAGCATGTAAGTTGCTCTGAAATAAAAACATAAGGAATGAAGACAGAAGAAAGTATCAGATGAAACACTAAATTAAAATAGCACTTACAACAGAGCCACCTGAGGACATCAAAACAGCAAAATGAGTCAGATGATTACATTTGCATGAGATATGAGTGGAGTTGGAATGTGTCAGCTCACAGCCTTCTGTAGCCCAGTTGCCATTCATAGTGTCTGCTGAATAGTTCCAAAACGCACATTTAATATCTTTATCCGCAGTCTGGAACAGAAACAAGATGCTTCAATGATGGCAAAAGGCAGGATATTTCCCATCAAGAGACCTTTCTTGAGTTAGCCAGCAGAATTCATTAAAAATTGCTTGTTACCATTGGAAGGTTGGGAAACAAAAAGCACATTCTGTAAGGCCTGTTCCAAGCAATTAAAGCATGGCCAGGGATGGAAGCATTTTATCCATACTGCACCAAACATGCATGCTAATGAGGTTACTGAAACCTTTTGGCACTTGCAAAGGTGTTGGAGTTTTTACCTACTGAAAACATTGTTATATATATCCATGCACCTGCTAAACATGGACTAAAACCCCAAGGTTATAGCCACATTGCTTGTCCTGCTCATAGTCCCTTCCAAACGAGCAGTTCAAAACGTGAGACTTATTCTGTGCACTTCACAAAGCAATCTGGGAGAAAGCCAGGGTCGTGTCACACCTGCTGTATCAGGTGTGATGACAAAGGTGAGTAAAATCTTTAGTATTATTTATTACAGCTAGTGCTTACTAGCACTAGTCAAAGATAAGGTCCCCACTATACTACATCCGGTATAAATAGATGCAGATTATTCAGAAGGTGATCTCTAGCTCAAATATTAGAAGCCAAATAACAAATTTAAAAGCTGCATAACCAAGGTTAGCACCTTGCCCCACTGCCCACCTCCCTAGAATCTTGCTTTCTCATTATGCTTCTGATAATTCTTTGTGCCTGTAAGATGATTCTTCATATACACCAATGAAGTCAGAAAAATCTACATATCCTGGAAGTAAAATTCTCAGTTTTCAATGAATGTGTTCAGATTTCAGAAACAATAATGCTGCAATACTGTAGATTCTACTATTAACTCCCAGCTGCAAGTTAATTTTTTGTATTAATTTTGAAGCATTTCTTAATTTATTTTAGTGTATTTTTTTAACCAACTGATAAACTTTCAGAAAAACCCACCTAAATACAGAATAGTCAGGATATTGTAATGTTCTCTGGTTCAGGCATCTACAGTTTATTCATACTGCAACCCAGCAAAGAAGCCACTGTTGCCCTTGCTTTAGTCCCGTAGCACTTTTCAGCTGTATTGTATTTAGTATATTGCACTTAGGATGTCACATTAGAGATTTATTTATATTTATTTTTCTAATAAGATTGAATGCACATCAGCATACAACATAATTATGTCTCAATATAGCATACACTGCAGGTATAGTTACATTCCATAAAATAATTAGCTGTTGTTTGTTTTATTTGATGCTGATAATAAAGAAAACCCCTTACCTTGGCATACTTTAGGGTAAATGTTATTTTCTCAAGCTCATAGAGTGTAGGTGGATTTGAGCTAATTGCAACAGCTATAACTGATGAGCTTACTGTCTGTCTCTGTTCTGAAGGATCTTTTGAGGAGTGGTTTTTAGGCGATGAAAGCAAAGAACCAATGTTGCTGTACCGCAGAAAGACAACTGTGACCGTGCCTATCAATCAAACAGACCATGTTTAGTAGTTTGTGGGGTTTTTGTAGAAGAACAAAATTGAAGACATTAAGGGAAACCATAAACAATCAACATTATTACTGCTATTGCATAAAATATGCAAAACAGATGGAATCTTTGTGGAATACTTATAAAAACGTTTTCGAGACCATGAAATACAGCTTTATTTAAAACAACGCAACTGCCATTAGAAATAAAAATGTGTATTTGCATTGGAAATTCTAATTAGATATATGCATATGCATTTTTTTTTCTGGAGTAATATATGCTTGCTGCTGTTCTGCAATTGACTACACACATGGTGTCAAGTCTCATAAACTGAAGTAGCTCAGACCTGAGATAAATACTGGGCGTCTCTGAAGTACGTGGCTTGCTCTGGCTTCCATTACACTGGAGCCAGGATGGAAGGCACATATGGAAAAGTGAAAGGTATTTTAGGATGCAGTGCCGATTTGAACACATGCACTTTTGCTTCCTGGTACAAAAGTAAACCATAATTTTAGATACTGTTACATTTCGGATTAGCTGGAAGACTATGACCTAAAAAAATATTTTCTGTGTTTATTAGGTTAGGAGGTTTCATTCCAGAGCTGTTTAAACACATGTATTTATTTTTAATGATGACAGTAGTTGTGAGCCATTTCTGTATTTTAGTGATGACAGTTGTTGTGAAGCATTTCTGTAGGATTCTGAGGTCCAAGCCAAGATCTGGGTCCTACTGGTTTTAGTACTGAAGAATACATTGTTTTGGCCCAGTCAGCTGCTCTCTAAATAGAAAAGTTACACCAATTTTTGGTGGAGGACTGACACAGGGAGTTGAAGGGGCTGGAGATCTATGGCAGATCTATGGCTGAGAAAAGCGTAGAATTCAGCTTTCTGACTTGAAAAATTCACTGGATACTTACTGTGCCACTAGAAACATTAAAAATATCAGGCTTGCGACAATAAAGGGGTAAGTGAGATAGTGATAAAAATACCTTGACTCCTTGTAGGTATCAGGGCTGAAGCTCAGTCTTGGTAAACTTCATATTTGGCTGTTTACTAGTGGGTACAAGTTTACCCAAGGTGTTTATTAATCCACCTACTTACTAACCCTTTTTTTTTTTTCTTACCATTAGGATGAGATTCCTCTCTCTTCTTTGGAGAGATTTTTATATAATCTCCTCCTGTGTATACGTGAGGGTGAATGTGTTTCATGTGATGTGAATCAAAAGCAAAAACCTTGAGTGCTGCAAAAGAAGAAAAATACCATATAGATCACAGCTCCATTATGGTATACCATAGCTTACCATTAATAAATGTGTGGGTTAATAAATGTGCTATTGGATTGCATAATTACTGTGAATTTTAAGAATTTATCATTGTGCCAAATATTTCAAGAAAAATGCTATTCATATCGCATGTTTGCTTAAACCTTTATGTTTTGTTGTTTTCATGCATACATTTTGCTCTCACACTTTCTACTCTTTCCATGAAAAATATAGTCTTTTATTTACCTTGCATTAAATTAGACACTGGAAAGAATAATGTAGGTTACTTTAGGAAGAGCTATTGCTTTATTAAAAATGCATTTCTGAAAGGGACCACAAATCACAATTATAAAAAGCAAAGCATGAAATTCTCTACTGAATAGTAACATTTGATAAAAGCCAATTTTTGAAAAATATATATTTTATAGTTATCCATCCATGCTACCAAATGCACATTGCACCATGAAATAATGATGCGTGTTGTCAAAAAGCAAACAAACAAGTATCACCCCTCAGGACAAAAACTACATTAGAGGACACTGAGCTCTTTACTTGGTTTATTATAGTGCTGAGTTTCAATCACTCTGGATGGGAATTAAAAAAAAAAAGTCAATCAGGCCTTCTTAAAAAACAAAACAACAGCAAACAAATCTAAAACTTGACTGATGGAGGAATATCACTAAGCTAGACCATCTGCATTGCTTATAGCACAGCATACAAAAATAATACGAGCTATTCAATAGACCAGCTGTCAGAAAATGTTTGTCAGGACGTAAGTAATAGTTTTCTCTGGCTAGAGTTTTCAGAAGCTTGTAGCTCAAGAGCTTGCAACATAAAAAGCAGTCGAGAGAGAGGGGTAATGATTTGGGTCTTGTTCCAAAATAGATGTGTGGGGCATGTATAAGTGTATAAGCCCTACGGAAAATACGTTCGTGCTGAGAAGCAATAACAAAAAATGTTAGTGTTTGGGGTCAGCTGGAAAAGAGCTCATGGAATTTCCCATTTTGGAAGAAAATCAAACAAAAAAATGATAGATCTTTCAACATAGAAATTCCTTCCCCTTCTCTTCATCAGTTCTTTTTGCCACCTTGGTCTAACTTACATCCACACTGATGGGCTACACCCAAAGCCTTCTCTCTTCTTAACCTTCATGGCCTCAACCCTGCAGCCACGAGAGCCTCTGCTCTCCGCTGGGTGAGGAGGAGAAAGCTTTACAACCAGCTCCTGGCGCTGCTCTGGATCTGCTGCACACCCAGAGCTGCTGTGCACTAACAGAAATCTGCTTCTGCAGAGTTTCTGTCACAGAGCAAATTTCTCCCTATCTTTTCATCACTTTTGCTAATTCAGTTTGAAAAAAGCGAGGGAAGAACGGGTGGTTTGACCTGCCTTGGGACTAAAGGAGGAATCTCTCTCATCAACTTGTCCTATAAAATGATAAACCAGTAAGAGGCACTGAAGGACTGTACTGAATCTGAAATAAGAAATCAGGTCACATACAGTTTGAGTACATTGAAAAAACCGAAAATGAAGGAGTGGCCATTGCCAAAGGAATCAGCAGTTCTTTATTAGGATTTGCAAAAGCAGCTGGTACTAGCCTTACTCTGCTCTCACTGAAGGAATAGTAAAATTATTATTACCGCAGGAAAATCTATAGAATCTATAAAATCTATATCCCAGCAGATAGGGTCAAAGTAGGAGATCAGAATGGTCCAGCAGAAACTAAGCAATTCTCCTCTGAATTTCCTCTGAAAATGAGAAATTTCTCAAAAAATAAAGCCCCACAAGATTGGACTTGCAAGGTACAATCCTTATTCCAAGTTAATTTACAATACCTTCGTTGAACCAAAAAGAGTAAAAAATCTGTATAGAGCAAATGTAATTTTCATTCCACTGGTGTTTTTATGCATATAAGTTTGTGCATATAAGATGCATCCACATTCACTTTGACAGGGTGACTATAATAAAAGATTGAAAGAGAATCTAAAAGGACAACTTCCACAGCCACTCAAGTTTCTTTCTGGGCTGTAGGCTCAAATGTTCTACCTTTGAAAATTATGATACCTACACTGAAAGTCATCTGTTAGTTATAAAACTCACACAAATTAACACCTGTGTATTTCACATAACACCATTTCTAATCTTCATAATTGTGCTGAAAAAGCCCTCAGTATAATCCACACCTAAAGTACACCTTAGATTATTTTTCTTTATCTTACCTACGTCACTTGCATTAGCATCTAGCTGGGTTGTCTTTTTGAAGTTCTGCAACATGAGAAGCGTTGCATGTTCTGCTGTATGAAGCAGCTTAGTCAGGATCCGTCTTTGGTTATCTCCTGGAAGAGCTTCCCAGACTGTCATTTTGTCTTTTTGTAAAAAATTGTTTACAGTGTTAACAAAAACCTGTAAATAAAAGAATGTTTTTAAGCAAAAGAGCTACAAACTCTTTGTGAAGTAAGAAAAAACTCCACAACTTTAAGGCTTGATCCACTCACATTAATGGTTGTATTGCGAAGTGCTTCACTGTCAGCAACAGAGTAATGCATGGGATTCAGTGATGAGTAAGATAGTGCTTCAACATATGAAATCACATCTACAGGTAAAAGTGGTCCCAAAGTATCCTTATTAATTTCTTGCAGCATCTCCAGGGGTGTTTTTAAATGACTAATCTGAAAAATACAAGGACTGACATCTTAATGAAACAGTTAAAGTCATATTTGTGTAAGTGAAAGTAAACCCAGTGCAAATGGCTGAATTCTGTGCTTTCATTACACTTTGTGTTTAACTACTGCAGCTGAGTTTTATTTATCCCAGTGCTCCAAAATGAACTAGTAAATGTATTGCAAAAGTAATTAAATATCAATGATATAGTTACTCTTTTGACTGTTTTATGTTAATTTTAGCTGAAGAGGTGGGAGTAATTGGGCAGTTTTTCTATATTTTGTGATTGATATTTTCAACTACAGATTATAAAGCATGTAGTTCAATGAAACTGTACTACCTATTTTACCTTCACCACTTCAGTTTATGAACTACTAAATGCACTTACATTACAATTAGTTTAAAAGTAATAGGCTAGAGAGGTTGAGATTAAGACTAAGATTGCAAATTTTAGTGTAATGGCTGAATAAGAAAAGAATTCTTACTTCATCATACTGAAATTTAATGAGATTTTATCCATCAAAAAGCCCCTCAACACCTGATTTTGTAAGATGTGTAGTTTCTGCTACTGAACAGCTTTTATTGGGCATACTGCATCTTTGAAACTTAATACAACAAACATAGGCTAAAAGCTAACACACTGTTATTACATAAAATTGAGGTATTTTGGTTTACTACTTTAAATTTAATTTGACTTCACATATATAAAAATATATTCTGTCTCTCCCCTACATGGCATTGACCAATTGCACATAAGTGTGGTAAGCATATATTATATATAATACGATGTATTACATTGCATGTTAACATAGAAGGCATGTTAATGCAATGTCTTTCTTACACTAGGTAAATAAAAGCTTTTAATTTTATATTTTTCTGAATCTTTTAACTTCATCAAACTGCTAAATATAAAATGCAAATATATATAATTGGTTTTAATTTACTTACACTTGTGTTTCATTTATCCTTTTAAATTAGACAATACTATAGCTGCAGACTAATGAGTAGTGAATTCCTTATTAATTTTTAAATTTGCTTCAGGAATCTCTACTTCTGGTGAAAAACATCTTGAGTCCAGAGTTCTAAAGTCTGTAAATTCTGTACCACCATTATCCTTTGAGAAGAAAATATACTAAAATACTAGGATGGTATTGCTTCATTTTCTCTTTTGTCATCGTTGTCATTACTTTTGTGAGCTATCTTCCTGCCTCTCACTCTGAACAAGCAAATAATGGCACATCAGCAAACGCAGCAATGTGCAACTTCAAAAATTACAGAAACAGTTGAGTGATTACCATACTTCTGAATTTTTCATGCATCATGACTTTGATAGACACAGAACACACAGATTTCCAGCAAGTTATTATCATGGTTTAAACATGCAACATAGTTCAAATAATTTGAAATGAATAAAGAGACTTCTGTAAACATGCTTAAGTTCAATTGCATGATTCAAACATTTGTTAAAAGCTCTTTAAGAACTATTATAATTGAAACAGTTTCAAACAGAAACAATTAAAGGATTTAAAAATTAATTTATAAACCAATGCTACTTACTCCCACTAAGGTTCTGTTAATATGTTCAGTTATGCAGTCTGTGTATAACTCACACTTGGCCTTTGGATTTTCTGCAGAAATTAAAGAGAACTGATTATATATTGCAGCTTAATTACTATTCAATATATACTCATTGTAAGAGCTCTTGTCTGAGGAATTCCCCATACCACCAGCATTCTGTATTTATGCACATGAAATGGAGCACTCCATTCTCAAACTTCGACTACTAAGTCTTTATCTTGGCCAAAGTTACAGCATGGGATTGGACTTTGAGCCTTTGTTTCACCAGGTAGAGAGTTTGGCCTCTTTCCTTGGGACTTCCGCAAGTGAAGTTACAAGAAAGCTCAAATTTTCACAGAGAACTACAGATCTGACAACTCTAAGGAGGTATCCCTTATTTCAAATGTATTTCACCACACTGGTTAGCAAAAATACATTTACAAAATGATTCTATTCTCAGGAAACATAGATGCCACTGCTCACCCCTTTTTCATGTCTTGCTGATTAATCTAACTGAAGATAAAGAGGCACTGACGGGTTTCTCAGAAGATGTAGCTCTATAATAACACATAAACCTTTATAATATCATGTACCTTGGCAGGAAGTGCCATCATTTGGCTTAAACTGCAATTTTCCTGTGGATGGTTGATAACCTTCCTTACAGAAGCAGTTAAACCCTCCATCCACGTTTTCACATTTTGCATGATCTCCACAGGCAACAGTTCCTTCGTTGCTGCACTCATCTACATCTGCAAATATCGTGAAAAATTGAATTTTTTATTAAGTATTTACAGATTAACACCTTGCTGCTTTGTTGATAATATCCCTGCACACTGCAAGCAGTTTCATAAGGAAATTTCATGGAACAAAAAAAGCAAAAGCTAAAAAGGCAAACTTAATGACAAAACACCTTCCAATTATAATACTCAGGGATTAGAAGGATAAATCATAATTGATCACATTTTTATACCACTATTTTTATTACTATATTATGTTGCATCATTCATATATTTTATAACTATGCATTTAACTATTAATTCTATGATAACAAAATGCTCAGTATGATGCAAATAATCTGAAATCCATTTTCCAGAGATTAGACTAAACAGATTTTCTCAGCCTTCTGATTCAGTTAGAAGAGAGAAAGAAAAAGGCAGCCTTTTCTTTTAAGTGACAGCTTTTAAAAGATGCTACAAAAGATCACTCTATCCATCTCATTATTCTAAGATTTAAGCTCTGTGCCCTTTTTTTTTTTTTTTTTAAGTCCACATTTAAATTACATTTGCCTAAAGTGGCTTTTGTGCTTCTAGGTAATTTGCCATTAGGTAGACAGGTTCAGTAACTGGGTGGGGCACAGTCCAAGAGTAAAACCAATGAATTCCGGTAAGGGAATCCATAAATTGATCAATTTAGGAGGGCTGGGTACTAACTCTCTGGCTGGAGTAGGGATTATTGTGAATTATTTGTTTGACTAAGGATAAAGATCAAATAACTCAACAGACAAAGTAAATTGAGAACAACACCAAATAATTCTGAAGAAATGAAGTAATGGACTGTGAAATGCTGCGCTGGAAAGGAGAAAAGAGTGAACAGCTTTGGGACAGGTATATCTGATGAACAAAGTTGAAAAATGAAGTGACACATGAGTAGGTTTAAAGGAACAGCCTGAGAGGAGAATAGGCTAAAAACTGAATTGAAGGACAGTAAATGTAGAGAGGGGAATGGATGAAGCAGACAAGACAAGCTAAATTAAAACTGGCATGACACTGAATTTGAGAAAGAACCTGGAAAAAAAGATCTGATTAACTGATTAGTGGAGAAGAATAGCTATCTGAATTGATAGGAGGACTTTATGCAGCCATATAGGTTTTAAGAACAGACAGAAAACAGATCTAGGTGGCTGGAAATGCACTACTAGCATATAGGAACCATTTTTGCACTCTTACTTTGATACACATTTTTTGGTAGTTTTCAAAAAGAAACACAACACAAACAAGCAATAATGTATGTGAAATAATGTTGCTAGAGACATGGAAATTGTGGAAGAATAATGTACTGCCTGTCTGTGGATATAACCAAGCAATGCAGAAGGATGTCTGAAAGAACAGGAAAGACCACCTTGGTGCTGTCTACTCATTCAGACATCATTTCTGGTAGCTTTGTGGAACATTCCTTATTAATGGTAAAAGAATCTCCATTTGAAAAACTGTTCAGACTCTGGCAGGGCACAGGAGGGAAGGAGAGATGGAGCTGGAAAAGCGTTCACCCTCTCCAGCACAACCACTTCTGCCCTGCAGAGTGAGCCACCAAGGAATCTCTATGTTTGAAGGGGTTGGCACAAGCACTGAAGTTTAAAATATGAAGTTATACTATAATTTTGTGAATTAGGGCAGTAGATTTTTCCCATATTTAAAGGCCCAAACTGCATTAATTATTATTTTTTTTCTCTCTTTAATGAGCTGAGTTTCGTATTATCTGTATTAGTACAGTTCCTGTGACCTCAGTATTCATAGTCATATCTGGCAAAAGTGAAGTACGGGGCAGGAGGGGTGGAAGTGTGATGTAGTTCTACACAGAGGCTACCTCATAATTAAATGCTGTTACTTAAAAACATAAGGCTAAAGTTCTTACTCTCAACATTTAAATAACCTCTCACACCAGTAAATTATAAAGCTCTTTTTGAAAGCACTGAGTGCCTGTCAGTGCCCTGTTGTGTGACTCTATGTAAGACACAAACTTTGAATGAATTGAAGTGGCAAGGGAGAAACCCACTACAATATTGTTTTTTTATAACAAGAACACAGATCAGCCTTATACCAAAGAATTCTTTGGCCTTGTCAGCTACATAGACAAGGACATGTACATCTTATGATAGTCAGCATGTAACACCATGCTAAAAAACCAACAGTTGCCTAGAACCTTTGCTAAAACCTAGAATGACTTCTTAAAAAAAAAATTGAACACTTTCCAGACTACCATTGCTTAGTATCAGATTTCCAGATGATTTACTGATGCAAGTGTTTCAAAATTATAATGATAATTTGTTTTTCATTAACTTAGTTTGATAAAGCATTTATTTGTTATCAGGCATTAATACAAATTACCCTTCTTCTTGTAATTATGTCAGATATTAAGTGTAATGAAGATTTTAATGAGAGGTCAAGATTATCCAGAACATTAGCAGAAACTCAAGCACCAAGGCACATCTCTGCCAACAGGATGCTTATTTAAAGTCTGATAGAGACACCCTGTTGAGTATATGCAAATAAACTTCCTGCAGTTGAGTTGTCCATATGGAATGAGTCCATATCACACCTATCTAGTTTACTGTTTCCTGAAGAAAAAAAAATAATCTCCTAGGTGACAAAATTAAAGGGCAATATGCCTGATCTTGCAAGGTACTAATCAGTTTCATATCCCTTTTAAATAATTGAGATTGTTAGGAGCAGCAACAATTTGTGACAGTTGCAAGAATGCTGCTTTTTAAGTTCCTTCTTTGAAACATGGTGTGCAGTAGCTGTAGGTTTTTGTTTCTTTATATTTTGTAGTTATTCCTTTTTAACTGAATATGCAATTGTTGGACCACACATGGACAACAGCTTGTCAGTGCTTTCAGTAATCAAATTTTACTGGAGCTCTCGGGCAAGGATTGCAAACGTCCTCCTTGATCTACTGTGGGAGCAGGGCTGGGTTGCCAAGGCCTATGTGAGCAGTCTTTACAGGCAACATTCCTGAGCAAAGGTTGAGGAACAGCAGCTTCTTAAATACAAGAGCATTTTCCATAGCCCTGCAAAAAGCCCTGGCCTTTTTGTAAATATTCAAAACAAATCCTGGAGCTGAACTTTGAAGCTTTTATAATAGCTTCGATCAGAAAAATAATACCACCACCACTTAGGCTAGTGTGAAAATAGATTTATAACCTTTTATTTTATTTCTGTGCTTTGTCCCTCCTCATTTACTGCAGCAGGCAAGGAAATTCCAATTAAATTAAAAGTACTGAGAACTGTTTTTATGTTCAGTCTTGCCAATTACTGGATTGTACCTACATCACTTTGATTCCTCACCAGTCATTCAAGACAGCTTGATGTCTACATTGTGCCTTCTGCTTATTAGTAGCTTGCAAGTGATTGAAAAGTCCAATTGCAAAGGACTAGATGTTCCCTCCCTGTGTCTCCATACTGTGGGAGGCAGCAGCACATACAAAGTAAAAATGAAAAAGCCTACGAATGGCACAGGTAAAAGAAAAATTAGCAATGCAGCATAATGCCACATCCCATCCACTGCCCAGCTCCCCTGTCACAGATAAGGATGCAATGGAGAATGGATGCTTTCCCAGGACAGTCTGAAGAAGCTGAGAAAAACCTAAAGAAAACTACTAGCACGTTCCTGGAAAAGGCAGAGTGGCATGGATATTGCTTTCATTTTACAGATGGCCATTTTCATGTTTTTACTCTGTTGACCAGGGTGAAAAAAATAGGTTTATATTTCACCTTTTTATCTGCAGCTGAATGTTCAATAAAATGTGAAGTCCAAGGAAAAAACCTGGCTTTTACACAGTAAATAGATTTTATTAGCTCACATTCGGGGCAGCAGAAAAATGTCATCTTCAGAAATATCACAGCTCTGCATTCCTCCTTTTTTCTTCTTCATTTCCTTTCTCCCTTCCTAATCCTCAGTTCCTTCTCTATCTGCATGCTTCATTGTAATTGCTTACCAATTCTGGATGTTTGTTACCTTTTTTCCTATCAGTGGGAACCTCACCAGATCACCATGACCTCTCAAATATGATGGATAGAGGCTTAGCAACTGCATCCACCAGCTCCCTCAGGACTAGTGGATGGACCCCATCAGGCTCCATAGACTTGTGCACTTGATGGCATCCATCTGACTATAAACAAATAAGCTGCATAATGGCATAGTCACCAAAACTCAACCACTGCATTTTTAAAGCTACTGCTATATCCATTATGCACATATATTAAAAAGAAATCTTAAGACTGCAGAACCTCGAAAAGCTTTGGGGGCCTATAAACTTGGGTAGAATGGATACTTGGTAGCCCTGTCCTTCAATTTGTACTAGATAACTTGCACTGTATTTTCAATTACAACTTTGGTGTTTGCTTCTGCTGTGTATACAGCCTGAATGCACTGTCAGCTGCTTGCATGCAAGTCACATGTACCATCTGTAGCACCAGATCCATCGGGTACAAAATACCGTATTATGGTTTTTCTAATAGATAAAGTACAAAATTAATTGTGGATCAAAAGGTTGTCTTTAGGACTCACTGCTTGGTACACTTGTTTAATGAGAAAAGGTGCCCACAGGTAATTATTTCAGTGTGAGTTTTGGAAGCTCTCAGCTCCTCCCATGTGGATTTGCAAAAAGGAGATGAAAAGTGGTAAACTAACCCTCAGTAAAGGATGAAAAAAGATCAGTCTACCCAGTAAAGAGAGCAAAATAATAAAAAAAAATATTAGCAACTTATGGTAAAAAGCTAAATACGACACAAGAACAGTCAGGGAAATAACTTTGAAGGCAAAACTTCTGAAGTTGAGGACATGTCATAACATAAAAATCAAAGCCTGGGCCAGAAATTGTGAGAATATTTACAGCTCAATGTGCTAATAGTCTCAGCCCCAGTTAATTTAAGAACAACTCATAGTGGCTGGATAAAGCAGAGCCCTTTTAAGATGGATGTGAGCAATGGGAAAGAAATGTTGATTAAATCACTGTCTGGCTTAATATGCAGCCATTCTGCTGATATTAAGAGCAGTAAGAAGAAAGGTTGTCAGCACTCACCACCTCACATGGGACATATCTAGAATGAGACAATCAGCATAAAGGGCAATAGATTTATTTATTTATTTTCCCATTTCCTGAGGACTGTTGCAAGATACAGAGAAAATTACCAGGAATTTGAAAAAAGATATATAGTTGCAGTTTTTCCATTCAAAGGAAATCCTAAAGGATTACATAGTTACTCAGAAATAACATTTTTGCAGAGACCTTTTCCTCTCCTGTAATCTTGAACATGTTCCATCTAGCCACTACAGAAACAGAGGCTGGTGATGGCATGGAAGGTAGGATAACTTCTGATCTTGCTCATTGCTTTTGATCAGACATGAAATACTAGCAAAAATATCCCAACCAAAGCCCACAAACAAAAGGAGAACAGTAGGTAAAATATATAGGGAATTTAGTCGGTGCTGAGTGACCTGAACACAGAATACCCTTGTCACTCTGCTTTGCTTTAAAAATATAACTATTTTGTTCACAGATCAGTGAAACAGGGGTATAATTAGTTGGATTGGGTATTTCTGTGTTACCTTAAGTATATATTTATTGTTTAAAAGAGTGACATGTGGATTAAAAATACTGTGAGTACAGTGAAGACTGAAGTGTTTATGAAAGCAATGGCAGCTGCCATTTTTAGGGAGAACTGCTTGAACTGGAATAATAAATCTATACCAGTCCAAACTGTGGGTATTTTATATCCTGACACCAAATTTCACAAATGTGAAAGCATTTTCCTAGATTTCTGTAATTAACAGCAGCAATAACAGAAGAATGACAACATAAAGCCAGCTGGCAGACATTAATAACTTACCCACACAGGAGGTTCCATCATTAGGTACAAAAGTTTGTTGACCATTGCTGGATTTGAAGCCAGGTGCACACATGCAGAAATAACTTCCCACCGTGTTTGTGCAATTGGCATGCTCTCCACAAGGCTGAGTAGCATTTTCACACTCATTATCATCTGTCAAGACATAAATTATGGAGAAATGTATTTGCATTTGCCAATTTAAGAAAACAGTAGAAGCTTAATTTGGCCTCCATTATTTTATTTATGTCAGTTTTGAATGCTGAGCCAGCACTCCTTGTGTTTGTCTATATAGTTTTTCCATTGTAAATAATGTAATCAGGTGTTCAGCAGCCTTCTTCTGCCCTCATCCTGCCTGAGTCAACAAATGAGAAAACCTGTGTGATACTGAAGTAAGTGGTTTAATTAGACATTTGTTTAGAATAAAGGATTAAGACAGCATTCTGACATGGTTTTATTTGAGACCATATTTTGCTACCCAAAAATCTACAGGTAAGCAGTCAGCCCAAAGATACATCTGAGAAATTAGAATAATAAAAAACAAAGCTCAAAAGCATATCAGGAAATCAGCCATTTCATTCACTAACAGCAAAGCAGGATCAATATAGCAAAACTGACAGATATTTTCTGACTTGAAGACCTCCTCAGCAGTTCTAAACAACAACCTTACAGAATTCGTCCTAATGACTGACGTGAATCTTCAAGTATATTGTTTTTTCTTATTTATCCCAAAGATCTTAAAAGACAGATGAATATGATTCACAGCTTGATCTTGACTTCTCAACAATTGCTGTGCAAGTCATCAGTTTAATACCTGTGAAATGACATGATCTATTTAACAGGACTGATCTCATGCCCTCAACGTACATGGAAAAGGAAAAAAGTAAATAAGTTTTAAGACTACTTCCTTTCTGCAGAGGCTCTCATGTGCTATAACTGTGAGCACGGAGATCCAGCTAGCTTGATCAAAGGTCAAATGAAGTAATAAACTTATGCTTTCAACTGTAGAGCTGATCTTCTGCAATGACTCAATAAATCTGTTTCCTCTCCAGTATCTTCCAAGGTCTCCATTGTCTATTAAACAATTTTCAGACTAAACTTGAAAAAAATTTCAAAAGCATCCTTATCCAGACACTCTGCTTATAAAGCTGAACTTAACACTCACAATACTGATAATTCAAAATAGCCATTCCATTAGCCATATTTCCAAACTGCCATTTCTCCCAAAGCACCCCAAAACTCCAAAACAAAACTATCAATGAAACTTTCACAAAGAGGACGACACTCTGAGTGGAGTTATCTATTTTCTACATTGTGAGAAAGGAAAAGAGTTAAAGGCTTTCTGAATTCTACTGGGATTTTGTTCTTGTTCTCAAGCAAAAGGTACTCATAACATGATGAATGACAGGAAAGAATTCTAACAGGGAGAGAAATAACAATTTATTGCAGAAGAGGAATGATTAAGAAGTGTGACAGGGAGAAGAAATATGATTTCAGAAAAGATGCCTAGGAATGAGTTTCAGAAAGGTGCTTCTGCTTCCTGATGGTCAGTGTTCTCATAAGGTGTTTACAGACATATGGTACAGATAAGTGAAGTGTCACGTAAGCCAGGGAAGTAGCAAGATTAAAGTGCACCAAGAGGTGTAGAAATACATTGCTGCAATATAACTTAATCACAACCCCTGGAATGATGTTGGAAAAGGACATTTTTTCAGATTTGAAGGCTGACGTGATTTTGAATGTTATTCAGTTGACTCAGAGATGCAAATATCAATTCAGAAGTGCAGCAGGGGAATTTGGGTCAAGAGTATCAAATGGATTACACTTATTATAACTGAAATTGAATGTAATTTAATGAGGAATCCAAGTATGAAAGTACTTTGCCAGCACACATAAACATTATTTATGCTGTAGCTTTGGTATTAACGAGAATAAAAAAGAGAAGGTGTATGATTTGATCTTGCTTAAAGAATGCCAAAGTAAAATAAAATTATTTTAAGTGAAATTATGATAGGGAGGAAAAAAAATGTGGTGTTAATCCAAGTTCAAAAGCTAAGTACGAGAATATACAAAATCTAGTTTGGCACATGGCATTGTGAAGACCAGGCCCCAGAACAGTTTACAGTTTAATCTTGGTACGAAGGTCCACTCCTTTGAATGCAATTTGTATGTGTCTGTGTGTTTGGTTCTTTTGCAATCCCAATTTGCTCCCACTTCCTGGCATTTCATGACAAAAAGAGGTGAACTACCCTATTCTTTGCCTCAGACTTTAGTAGTAGAACTGCTGGCTTCCTAGAAACCCAATCCCCTGAGCTAGAAAATGGGGAGGTGGGGCAGAAAAAGAACTTCATAATCCAAGAGGAAATGATCAGTGACCTGCTACACCACCTAAACATCTTCTCACAAGTAATCGGTGATAGAACAAGAGGAAATGGCCTCAAGCTGTGCCAGGGGAGGTTTAGACTAGGCATTAGGAAGAACTTTCTTACTGAAAGGGTGGCCAAACACTGGAACATGCTGCCCAGGGAGGTGGCTGAATCACCATCCGTAAATGCGTTTAAAAGTGGTCTAAATGTAGGCTTGGGAAGATGGCTCAGTGCTGGACTTGGTAGAGTAGGGTTAATGGTTGGAGTCGATAAACTTAAAGGTCTATTCTAACCTAAGTGATTCTATTATTTAAGTTGCCAAGTGAACTTGATCTTGGGAAAGTATTACAGACCCTAGAAAACAACAAGTATTGACTTTGAAAAGCTCATGGGATAATATTCATGGAATATGAGAAGCAGAAGACCACTGATCGCCGCAGGACTTCATTCAAAGTAGAAAAACAAAGCTGAGAAAAGAGAAGCTACATGCTAAATAAAAGAAATTTTCTTTTGGATTTGCATTTTAGGAGCTCAACTATAATCCTCAAAATCACCTTTTTTAGATGATCCAAAGAGTTTATAAGCAATATTAATGACTCATGCTGTCATCATCAATAACTTCTTTACAATTACGCCTAATTACCTCTACTGGATTAACGTTGGCTTTCCTCAATATTTAGGATGTCTGTTAGGGGTTTAATAGTGCTGATATTGCCACGGATAGCTTGCCTATTGAAACTTCTTGATAATCTGATAAATCTTTAGATCATTAGAAAAGAATGGCAGTAATTTACATTGCAAACATATATTTAAAGAGTTAAATTCATAAGGAGTTTTCACCATTTACATGGTCTAATGTAATACTGAGCAGACCATACTGGGGGATAGTTTACTGGACCACATACTACATCCATTGAGATTAATGGCATAAAAGTCACTGACATGAATTGGCCCATAGTGGTGCTTGCTATGGAAACTACTGGGTTAATGGGAAAGACAAGCGAGGAGGTATTTTCAAGAAAAAATATATATGAAACTAGATGCATTCAAATAATCTACCTAATTTCACACAAAATATTTTATAAGATCAACAATGACAGCAAAAATAACTTCGAGTTCTCTGAATAAACAGATATTTTTTTTCCCCAACAACAGCTCAATGTGAGGTCCAGGGGTTCCAAGTAATTTTCCAAATTTTACTTATTTTATAATATTGTTTGATTTGTGATTTAAAGGACACAGGGGAAAAAAAAAACCCAAACACAACAGGATCTATAGATGGAAAAATATTATAGGTTGTGGGTTTTTTTTGTGTGTTCTTATTTTCTTTGTTTTGTGGGTGGTTTTTTTGTTGTTGTTGTTGGGGGTATTTGAAAACAAAATTTTCTGTCTATACGGAAAGGATACTTTAAATGACAGCAAGCATATAATCCACCTGCTTTGTTGCTGTCTAATTTAATTATATCAAGTGCATTCATTGCTGGCACAGATATCCACTGAACACTACAGGCTGTGTTTCTGGAATGCACATTCCTTTAAAGATTTTTTTTCCAGTAACTGATGAAAAATTGAGAGACTTTTAGAAACAAGATTGACCAAATGACAAGGTTCATTATTGTGGCTAAACGGTAATACTGCACTCAAGTTTGTTTAATACACAAGACATTTGCTGAATAGCTGAACTGTCTTCAGAAATTTAGGGGGGGTGGGGAGCAAGTTGTTTTGTTAGGTTTTGCCTTTTTTTTTTTTTTTGCTTTAGATTGGGTTTGGGTGGTTTTTTTAAATTTATTTTTGTTTTCTACATGGCAGTTTTATGCTACTTGGGTAGCTCTGAAATCTTATAATTAAAAATCACAAATTAAGGAAGGTTATAAAGTGTATTCTAAAAACTTTGTGTTAAATAACCCAAAGATGGGTCTATATATATACATACATGAATATTGGTAGGATGCTTACATGATACAGGTGTAAAAATAAAACCAGTTTTCCATTTTCACCTTAAAAATGCAGCTACTATGTATTTTACTGTACATAAACATAATTATAGAGAGAATCAGCTACTAGCTGCCTGTAATCAGTTCTCTACTAGTCTCTTGAAAATGTATAAGGGACTTTAACAGTAAAAAAAATCTGAAAAGCTGATATACACCTTTCAAACTCAACTTGATTCAAGGATGGTAGTTCTGCATTAAAACAGCAAGTGTTCATTAATATGAGGACACCACTGGTTTAGGGTTGAGCAGCTGCACTCAGAAGTCTGGGCACTTATGGAAATCTTCCCCTGTCACAGAGGGCTACAAATCAGATCCAACATTTGAACAATCCCGCTTCTTCATGAGGTAACATTGTCAAATGTGTATGAATTTTGTTTAGCATTGATATATTTCTGTGTAAAGAACATTCTATTATTTTAGAAAAGGAAGAAAGATCTGTGGATTTTAGGGCCATGATGTAATTGGAAACTAGAGGAATCTGATAAGATTTTGGGAAAAAAAGGATAGAGGAAATTTCTTCTATTGTATTCCATATACTCCCTAACATGCAAGTTTTACTCTGTCCTATATCCTGTTTTAATACTGGGTGGTTATAAAATTAATGCAATTTGTTATTATTGTGACAAGCATGAGCAAATGCTTTGAATTATCAATTTTACATATACAATTGTTGTAATATTGTTTATATATTTTACATGAAACATTTAATGAGGGGAAATCTTATGGTAGTGGATTTATCAGATCAGCTTTGAAGGTCTTCCATTGTACTGCACACATCTCCATGATAGACTTTTCA